AGTGATGTCAGCAGTGGATGTGTTCATATTAGTTCCATTCTTTTTAGAATAGCCAATCCTTCTTCATTACTGCTATTGGATGACTTCTCTTTGTAAGATCCAATCAATTCTTTAAGGAAGGAGAGTTGAAAGAGACTAGTGACACTAGAGAGACTCTCACTCACTCCATTAGACGATCCTTTAAGCTGATCACTGATATTAGTCAGTGAATTCTCAATGAAAGACAAAGTAGTAGGATTAACACAAGTACCATCAAGTGTACTACTGGCAGATAATGAATAAGAGCTCATACAAAGAACCAGTAGAATAGAATACATCTTCATTCCTCACTGTAATGAAACTGTGAGACAAAACACTCATACAGACTTATTTATTGTCACTGCATCTCTTTGTCTCATAATTACCACAATTAATGGATTGTGCAGACAGTATGACTAGACATGTTAATGAAGAAAGGTTGCTATTATCACTATACTGTCAGCATAATCCCTCATTGGTTATAGCAGCCAATATAGTAATAGTCCTCTCTCATTGAGCCAAGTGATAGAGAACAATGCACCATTCACATAGCAGACAATAATAATGCATATGCCTTTACCAAGTCATAACAACTCAAACAGCCTGTATGTACTATTATTGTAGCATACATGTAATTCTAATCATAATAAAATTAAACTAGCAAATTAATTGTGTCCTACAAAATGATCCAATAGTAATTGGTACACTTTAAATCGTCACTTAACATAAATTTCATATTGTCCGAAAGGAACATCTTCATCATTTGTGCTTTGGTCACAGCATAACCTCATCTCAATATTATCAGTAGTAGAATAACCAAAAGATCTATAGAACCAAGGAATAAGAGTACGTTCACAACAAGTGGTCTCACTACTACCACAACCTTTACCATCCCATAATGGATCAGAAGTATATAATGTAGTATAGGATGCACGTGCAGTGTGACATCCAGATTCACAATAATAGTGAGAACCAACAAATGATGGAACAGATTTAGGGTCTAAACTGCCACAAGGACAACAAGTCTTCTGACTGGACTGTCCACTAACTAGTGTCCAGATATGTTTCCTTGGGTTACCATGTGTTAGACTAATACCATCAATGTATGCTGAGTTAATAACCTTGCTAGCATGATAGGCAGCTGCTCCATTTGTTCTTCCATCCTGATATCCAATCACTTTACCACATACTTGTGAATGCTTTATATCTCTTGATGGAAATGTTATACCAACACAGCTACCACTATTAGTCACTGGTCTACCACAAGCACCAACTCCATCTTGTGAATAAGTTTTGAACTGAATAGGACATTCCTCATTAGGATCAGTCATATTCAGACTAGCTATTCTTCTCCAGCCTCCTCCTTTACCACACAGAGTCTCCATGTGACAGTATACATGACGACTATGTCCATTAACATCAGCCAATAGCCTCATATTATCTTTCCTGAAATTAATTGTAGCCGCGGGGTCTATTCGAGGAAATACAGTAATAGTCCTCTCTCATTGAGCAGGTCACTCATACTGCAGTGCAGTAGTCATTTCTTAATTTCACAAAAGTAACTGATCATTTTTTATTTTATAAACTAAAATCACTCCAGCAACATAGCTCTAAAAAAGTTATCTAAAATGTCCAATAAATCAAACCAAAAAGTT